GGTAGGAGGTAAAGGGAAAACACTGACCTCACATGGCAGAAGGATAAAAGGCCCAGACAGCTCTCTGAAGCATCTTTTATACAAGCATATATACCACTCATACCCATGAGTTAATAATTTCCCCGAAGACCTTACCTCATATCACCTTAGCATATGAATTTTGGAGGGGCACATACATTCCAATTAAGCATCAGGCAAGCCCTAGAAGTCTGTTCCAAGTTGTATGGCTGTTGGCTTTGGACAAAAACTTTCTTAAGTCTAGCAAACAGTATCACAGACTACTTGCTTACAGTATAATGGCATAGCTGTAACGCTATACAGGCCTTTTACATAAGGCTGTTATGGTTTGTGTCTGGGTGTCCCCCCAAAGCCTCATGCGGTCATGGGGCAGGCTTTTAGAGTTTGATTGATTATGGGTGTGAGAGCTACACCCGCCCTGGGGTGGACAGTTTGCATATGTAAGGGAGAGAAAGAGGGTGCTTCTGGCCATTCTGCCCTTGTGGGTGCTTGTTGCTTTTGCTGTGTTCTGCCGCCATGAGCTGTAGCCCTCTGCCATGTGCCACTCTGCCTTGTAATCTGCCAAGTATGGACTGAAACCTCCACAAACTGTAAGAAAAATAAACTTTTCCTTCCTTAATTTTGGGCATCAGGTATTTTGTCCCAGCAACAAGAGAAAAGTAACCAAGATAGCTGTCTTAGTGTGCTTTGTGTTACTATAATAACTTACCTGAGACTAGGTACTCCATAAAGAAAAGGTTTATTTAGCTTATAATTCTGGAGGTCTAAGAACAGTGCACTAGTATTGTCTTCTGGTAAGGGCCTCATGGCAGAGAGTATCAGAGAAGAGTGAGCATGTGTGGAAGTGATGTCATATGGTGAAAGAGGAATTAAGAGAAAACTAAGGCAGCCAAACCTGGTTCATAACAATCTGATCTTGTGTGGTAATCAATCCAGTCCCACAAAGCAAGAGCTCACTCCCATGAGAAAATTGTTAATCTCCCTTATGGACCTACCCATTCCTTAAAGGCACCGTCTTCCCATACCCCCACATTGGGGACCAAGCTTCTAGCACATGAAACTTTGGGGGACAAACCATGTCCAAACCATAGCAACACCTTCAGCATCCTCTCAGAATTGAAATGAATAGAGAAAAAAAGGGCAATTATCTCTTAGTAGAGAAGCTGTCAGGAGGAGCAGTCTTAACCAGCTCAAGGCATGCCCACTGCAAAGTTTTCCTTCTTCAAAAAGCAATTAGGTTGTAGGATCTCTCTAGATCAAAAGACTCCTTTCCAAGTGGGTATGAACACTGGCAGGCCCAAGATGGGAAAATGCCCTTCACCAGCAAAGTTCAATCCCTAGAGTCCTTACTTCCTTTTTAAGTCCTAAGATTTATCCTTCCTTTCAGCTATTTCTACAATGGTAGAAATTCTCCAAAACACCATGGGAGATGTGAAACAGTGGTTTTCAAAGTTAAATTACAACCCACTAGATATTTTAAGGGCATTAACATTCTTAAAAGGGCAGAATAGAAATTGCAAAGAGCACTGCATATGGTAAGTACAGTTCTATAACACATTTATTCTAAAATATGTAAATCTGTATTTATGGTATTGGGCCATGACATAAAATATACTGCTGATAATAAGAAACATCAATTTAAATAAAAACAGGGTCTATTTATCGACCAAGTATATTGCCCTTTTGTAGTTTTTGAAGGTGTTTGGAAAGCTGGTTACCATAATTTGCTAAGACATATATCTAACCGGTATGTTCTACTGCCTTTTCCACCTATTTCTGCTTATCAAACTGGTTAACATATAGTTTACTCAGTGTTCATTCATACTTGTTGGCATTTTGTCCATCACAGATGTCTCTGGCTTCTTGGTCAATTGTTCTTTTCTTAGACGTAAGACTTTAAACCACCACTACCCACCAATTTAAGATCTTCTTATTGGTTTTAAACATATCTTACTAGATTGTATATATAATGCTAGGCTTTGTTACATGCTCTATTTCTTAACTGTTACACTGCAACTTTTTTCGAAGTTTTCTTCAATCATACCTTGTTTTAATTTTTGGTACTGATCGCTGTCCTGGGTATAAGCCTAACAGTTCTCATACCTGTACCTTGCTCTTCCATGTATCATATGCTTTTGTCATTGCTCTCTTCCTCTCCAAATCTTACCTGTTCATCAAGACTTAACTCACTACCCAAAGTCTAACTGCCTTCAGTGCTACCGCTCATCACCTTATTTGAATATAGATAGCAATGCATTCCCTCCACATAGCAAGAACTTAATTTTTTTTTTTTTTGTCTTTTCTTCCGGTACCAGGAATCGAACTCACGACCTTGTGCTTGCCAGGCAAGCGCTTTGCCGCTGAGCTAAATCCCCAGCCCCGCAAGAACTTAATTATTGGGGAGTTTATTTCCATAAATGTGAGCATGTATGGCCCTGAAGGTAAGGGCCATCGTATACACAGCTCTTGTTTCTACAGTTTTAGGTACTACAGTTTGAAAAAGCATTAGGAGATAGACAGTTACTGTCCTGACCTGGTCCTGAGGCATCTGAAATAAGCTCTTGGGGAAACCAGGTCACTGATAACCCCCCTTTTTTTCCTGATAGCATGAGTAGTACTATATAAATGGAAGGCTACCAAAACATCCTGAAGACAATTAGCCTGTAATTAATAAGTTTGTACGTCAGTAAGATAAAAAATATGTCCCCCATTGCTTTAGATTGTCCACTACAATGATGTTTCATTTTTATAAACCTTAGGTCAACTATCAACTCTTGATAAAGAAACTGTAGCTGATTACAGAAGAGGTCACTAATAAGATATTATAAGGTAGTAATAAAATCTGTCTAGGTACAGTTTCACTATCTGTTTAGGCAGAAGTTAATTTGTCACATTGTTGCTGTATTGGTAAAGAGAGGCAACCACAATGGGGAAATTAATATAGAGACAGATGCTAAAGCAATGTATGAAAGTAACAGATGTCAAATCAAATGCTTAATATTTTATCAGATGTAGAATAAGTAAATCTTTTCTCAGTAAATTTTCTTAACTTGGTGCACCATGAAATGCCGACAAAACTTCTGACTCACATATAAAATTATCTGAAATGCAATTTAAGAGTTCTTTTTAATTTTAATTCTTTAGCATCAGCAGACACTAATATTGTTGTGAATCAAGATTTGCATCAAACTGAAGTTGAACTGATAGGTCAAATTTGATGGCGGGAGCACTTCCTGGGTGGAAAATACCTTCTGGAAAACCTAAACAGGTGAAAAACACCGGACCACATACACACTGGAGAGAAATACGGAGGGTTAAAATTTGAGAGAAATACACTGGAGAGAAATAGGAGGGTGAAAATTTCCCGAACTCCCAAAACAATCCCAGAGGTTGAGAGTAGTACAGATGATTTAGTAGTACAGACTTTTACATTTTAACAAAAGCAGATGTAACTTTGATTCACAGATGTCTTTAGTTGTGAATTACTCACAAACATGCTTATAAAACTGTAGATAGGGTGTGAAAGTGGTTTTTTCAAGATCCCAGTGAAATAATCACCAAATAACATTGTCTAATTATAACATTGATCACATTGTTCCATTCACCCAGATATAACACGGTGCTAACCATCCTTTTGGAAGTCAAGACCGGGAACACATTCCTCTAAGAGATCAACACATTATTCCTTTTATTCATCTAGAAACTGTGGCACTGAAAGTGTGAACTACTCAATGTAATGATGTCGTCACCAAGGGACGACAAGAATAGAACCCAAACCCCTTGACTATCAGGCTAGTGTTTTCCACTAACTGCGCTCCTTTCCACTCATCGGGGAGCATCAAGTGCAAAGGGTTGGAGGAGGGAGTGGACACAAATGAGCCAAGTCCGCGAGGTGGAAACTGCAGGGAAGGTCCTCAGGAATCGCTCTTTGACACTTTGCTTTTGTTCTGGCCGTGCAAGATGAAAGCGGCAACCACAAACCTCCGAGACCAAGAACTGGAACTAGGTACCGTCCGCTGGGGTAACCCTTCCCTCGGTAACCTCTCCTTCCGGCCCAGCCCAGCGGTGCCCCCGCGCCCGGGTCCCTGCCCCTCCTTCACCCCCGACCCTGCACAGCTCTGCCGGGGGTCCCGCCCCCATCCGGCCCTCCTCCCGTCCCCAGGAGGTGCCGCAGGGGCTCGCCGCGCCTCCAGGTTTCTCTAGAGAACGAAGGGCAGCCAGGCATCAGAAACGTGTTTGGAGTGTTAGAAACTTCGGAGCTGGAGAGGGGGGCAAACACTACCGCCGTGCGTGGGTCTAGGTGTAGCTAGTCACGACGAAGTGAAATTTAGACAAAAGCACAGCTTCTCTCTCTCCAGCTGGGAGGTCTCCCAGTTCCTCCATTCCCCCGGGCCACCTCCCGCGGGAAGACGCTTTCCGAAGCGCGCGTGTTTACACTTTTCCAGCTCGAGAGGAGGAGACCGACGCTTGCGGACGCCGGGGGATTCCAGACCGTTACTCCGCCCGCCTGGGTGGGGCCAGCCCAACCGGGCCTGCGCGTTTTGTGCGCCAGCCCGCACCCGCGCACTACAAATCCCACAAGGCAACGCTCTGGGGGCGGGTGGCCGCCTTGTCTGCCGGGAGCTCATTTCTCTCGCTACTACCGTTCTCCCCTCCCCTGTTCCCGTCGGCGTGGTCCCTATTGCTAAAGGCTACTTCCTTTTCAAGCGGGGAAGGAGCGGTCTTAGTAACTCCCACCTCTGAGCTCCTTGCATACTAGACTTTTCCGCCTCTGCTCTGACTATGCCTGATTCCCTCCCCGGAGCGGGGAGACGGAAGCCCTTAAAGCCCAAGCGGCGAAATCCGGTCGCACTTCCGGCTTCTGGGCTCTGGAAGGTAGCGCGCACGCGCTCGGTGCGACTCCGGCGCGGTTGACTTCCGCTCCCAGTGTGCTCTGCGAGTCGAATCATGGATCACACTGGTAAGGAGGCGGAGGCAGTGGGGGTCCGGGTTTCATGCCCCCTTGGCGGGTCTGGGGACTGGCCGCCCAGTGGGCAAAAGGAATAACCCTCGCCCCACAGCATTAGGGTATGGTGGTGAGAAATAAGTCTCACATACCCGCCCCCGTGCCCGGCCGGCCTGGTGCCTCTCGGCCTGCCCTCCAGTGCGGTACCTCCATTCTCGGTGCCGGCAGCAGCCGCTGCTTCTGTCGTTCTGCTGAGCTCCGAGCCCGGACGGTGGGCGGCGCAGGCTTCGTGGGAAGGGGAAAACGCCGGATCTTTTCTCCCTCAACCCGGCTGCTCTCCCCTACGTGATGGGGCACTGGAGGATGGGTGCCACTCTCAGAGTTGCAGAAGCCTCATTACACTGGGAGTGGATGGGCGAAAGTGAGCTGGAGACTTCCTGCCGTCTCAGCCATCCTTGCGTGGGTACAGCGATGATCACCTCCTGTTGTTATTGTCTCTCCAGTCCTTCATGGACTAGAGGGCAGAGACCAGAGTTGAATATAGTTTTCAAAGTCGTAAACGGAGTAGATTTTCTATTCAGACCTTACAAAGCATGGCCCGCGCTTCTGCTGTGGCCCTTTCTCATCATTTGGGAACATTTACAAAGAAGATCTTAGAATGAAGACATTCACGTCCGTTTCTTCAAGTAAGACCGGCTCCATCCCTTCTTTGTGTTTCTTGGCTTCTCTTTCTTGTGGTTCTTGGCTGTTGAGTGAGTGCGCTGGAGTTAGTGCTTCAGACAGTTATGTCGATCGTAGCACGAGTAAGAAAAGCTTTTTCTTAAAGCAGTGATTGTAGTGTTCTCAGTCATCAACTGTCTACTTATGTGTGTGTGTATATGCTTGTTTATGCTAAATATGCACAGATGGTTGTAGGCGTGGAGATGGAATGGTATACAGTAGGACTGAGCTCTTGTCTTCATGGAGATTACATTCTCCTGGAGAACGCAGATCTTAAAATATAAATGTTGAGTGCTTTGAAGAATAACGGGTGCTGTGAAGTAGGGAGTTTCAGAGGATGGTCAGGGAAGGTTTTTCCCGAACGGTATTCATTAGTTAAGCTGAGATATGATGAGAACAATCCAGCCAGGAAATGAAGCAGAAGGGAGAGCATTTTCAGTAGTATAAAGGCACGGAGAGCAGGCTAATAGGCGATAGCCCACTTGGTAAAGGAAAAGAGCCTTAAGATGAGATTGCAAAGGGAGGTGTAAATCTCTTTCAGGGCTTTGAAAGGTTTGAAGTGACTGTGAAGCGATTGATCAGAAATAAAGGAACATAGTCTTTTAAATATATAATGAACTGTTCTATGGAAAATGGTGTAAGAGACACAAGAACAATAGAAAATACACAATTTAGGACGTGATTGAGGTCGACCGAAAGGGTGACCTGGTTTAGTGATAATGAAGGGTAAAGGGGGATTGTGTAGCTCAGAGGGAGAGTGCTGTGTAGCATGCTCAAGGCCCCTCAGCACACACACACACAAAGGCAGAAGTATTTTAGTGGCAGAACTCAGACACAAACTGATTGCTTGGTTTGGAGATATGTGAGAGAAATGTATGGGTTTTTGGTTTGTACGTCTTGGTAGTGGCTACTACTGAGTTGAGGAAGACTCAGAAGAAAAACAGATTCTTTTAAAGTTGGCAGATACTGTAGGAACTTGGGAACAAGAATTTGGTTTTACACTGCTACTATATGAAGGGAGATAACAAGTGAAGATCAGAGGAATGATACGTACTGAAAATACATGTACGTTATGGTTGGTATCTTTTAAAGCACAAGAATTGGTGAGATCACTTAAGTAGAGTGAGTATAGAAGAGGGACTAGCACCAGGCTGTAAGGAACACCAATTTTCCCCTTTGGGAAATTTATAGAGTTGAAAGTGGAGTCTTGAAAGGGGGAGTAGCAGACATTCTGTTTTAGCAAAGTATTTCACATTTGAGCCTGTTACTGGGTTTGGGAGTCATGTCCCTGTCAGTTTCAGGCTGTTAGTAAATTTGAATATAGGTGAATGTATCAAAGGGTATTTAGTATTCTACTTTTCTAAGTTATAAATTTGCCTGGGGAAATAAAGTCATCCTAAAGTGAAAATACTGATGAGCTGACTAGCTAAAAAAGTTTTGAGTCAGGTGTATTTTCTGCTTAACGTTAGCTTCTTTTCTATTTTGTAATCTCTTTGAGGTAGTGTCCTTCATGTTTAATATCAAAAAACAGAATCAGTTCCTGTGCATTGATTGTGATGAAAAATTACAAACCTTGCAAAAAATTCAGATTTTCATGAAGTTCATAGACATGAATTTGATAACTGTTTGAATCACAGAGCCATTGGCAAATGACAAAATGACCAGTTACTTAGTAACTTGAAGACATCATGACAGGATAGCCATCTCAGAAGAACAATTTTAGTACCAAAGGATAAGGAGGTCTTTGGGGAAACTGATGAAACCTTGATTGAATATTATGCAGAAATGACCCATTATATGATTGTACTTCAAATTCAAATGTAAGTTGAAGATGTTCTAATAGAATTTTACCAGAAAAAAAATCGCTCTAGGAAACTCCCAATTAACAGTCCATTCCATTTTTTGGTTATTTTAAAAATTAGCACTTTTGAAAAAGAAAAAAGAATTAGCACTTTTGTACTGAAACATTTCTTTGTTAATTTTTATTCAAGAGAAAATCTTAAATAGATATTTTAAAATTATATAGAGGTATTACTCTTCTTAAAAGTGGATTGCCTTCGATGGCAACTTATCTTTAGTTTTCATTTTGTGTATACTATACCAAGGACTTTTTATGTGCTTTGTGCTTTGCTATTATATATTAAAAAAGAAATCGTACTATATATTTTCTTAATTTAAGCAAAAATCAGAAAGCCCCCAAACCCAGACTGTTGGCACAGTTAAATGCTGTACTTCATAACTTAGAGTCTGGAAGGAAAGCAGCAAAGTTTCAAGGGAAAGCAGGCTCTTAAAAGGTTGGTTATGTCAGCAGTAGGAGACCTCACATATTCAGGGTGATGTGTAAAGGACTTGCAGTGAAATGTTGGTGTTTCATTCACAAAGGTAAAACCATTAAAGATTATTTTTAATGTCTGAAGGACAAGATTAACTGTCTACAACAGCTTCCTTTTTTTAGTTCATTGAAAAGTCAGGAATACTTTTTGAACAAGAAAAAAGTCATTGTGTTATGTCTTTTGGCCTTTGCATTGCCTGTAAATACTTCTATATAGATAGGCAAATGCAGTGAAAAGTAGATAAAATACACTAATCAATTAGTCCAGTTAGTGAAATGTTGAAAATTGATCAAGTTGGGTTTATCCTACCACAAGATTGTACCTGTCTGTAAATGTTTTCCATGACCCCCCCACCATGGAACCCTGGGGCATTTTGCCTGCTAGGCAAGCACTGTACTTGTGAACCTGTGAGCTACATCCCCAGCTATTCTGTGACTTTCTGTTTTTTTTAAGATTAGCCCTTGTAAGAGTAGAAAATAGACACAAAGATATTTAAAATAATCATTTAGGGCCCATTTTGAATTTTTATTTTATATAGTGTTCACAAAAAATGAGAATGAATGTGAATTTAACGGGAGTCTGCAACACTTACAGGCTTGGAAATCTTTAATACTAATTTATTACTTCATTTGTCTTAACTGAATTTTAACCAAATAGCTTGGTTATCAGTTTGGAGTGTAATATTTCTTGCAGGGGCAATCCATGGCTTTATTCAGTAATTTATGTTTAAAACGTTGCAAGTAGAAAAAAATGTATTTCCTAGAGCATTTTCCTTTTTGTCTCTCCATAGAGGTGAATATTTTATATCTTTTCATATACTTGAAAAAAGATAACTCTTAAGCTTTACATGAGTCAGTTCTATGAAATAATGCACTTGCTACTCATGGGATATGAGTTAATGTATTTCATAAATAGTAACGCAAAGATTAGAAAATGTCAGTTGTTTCAACCTAGTTGTTTGTGTGTTTTCCGGTACCGGGAATCGAACTCATGACCTTGCGCTTGCCAGGTAGGCACTGTGCCGCTGAGCTAAATCCCCAGCCGCCTGTTTCAACCTAGTTGAAGTTAGAAATCTTGTATCCACCTAAATTATTGTTTCATATTACAGTGCTAAGAGTAATTCAGTCACGTGTCTTTAGGAATGTCATAAATGCATTTTTGCATGTTTCTACTAAATGTATGATAATTTTATTATATGCCTGAATACATTTTTAAAAAGCCATTTTACACTAAGGAATTAATCACTTAAAATTAACTAACTTCAGATGCATTATTTAATTTTGTCTTTGTCGGGGTTAGTTTTGTGTTTCCAGTTTGGTTGTCCTAATGATTTAGTAAATTTATTGAGTTGCCTAAATTTATTGAGTTGCCTACTTTACATGCTTGATGGTCAGCCATAGAGACAGGGATGGTTTGTTTCTTTTTCTCTTTTTTACTTTAAAAAAAAATCTCTTTGGGTTACTTTAAGACAAATTCTTATTTTGGGTTCATGGGGTTTTATGTTTCTATAAATAACTCTACAGTTACATGACAAATTTTATTGTCCACTTTTATAGGGAGAAGTAAAGAGTTTCATGTCCCAAAAAGAGCTAATTAAAAAGTATTGCTGTAAAGTTTTATCCGAAATAGAGAAAATTAGCAGTTAAACTGTATCATACTCAAAATCAGTACCAAGACCGTTAACATTTGATATGGTTGGTTATATTGTTTTATTATCTGTGACAGAATAATCTTGAAAAAGAAAAATTAAAAGCAAATTTTATTTTATTTTTCTAACATAGACAATGAGTTACAAGGCACTAATAGTTCTGGATCGTTGGGTGGTCTTGATGTTCGCAGACGAATTCCTATAAAACTCATCTCCAAACAAGCAAACAAAGCCAAACCTGCACCTCGAACTCAAAGGACTATAAACAGGATGCCTGCAAAGGCTTCCACTGGTGATGAAGGTAATTTGTGTAAACTTAATGGTCCAACAGTCTTTGATTGTGCTAAATAATTCTTGTGATTGTATTTACTTATAGCTACCTTTAAATTTTTTTTGTACATACTTTATGACAAACGTTTTGTTTGACATCTCATTTTGGCATCTTTTTCTTTTTTCTTCAAACATTTTGTTTGACATCTCATTTTGACATCTCTTTTTTCTTCCCTTTATAAATTTCTTATTAAAAAAAAACAAAAAACTAAACAGTATTATAGAAAGCATAACAGTAAAAATAAAATTATCCCATTCCCCCACAATCCTTCCCTCCAAAGATATTCTCTGTTAAAACTTTCTTACATGGTAGTATTAATTTTTTATGTAGAACTGCCTTTTTTCATGTATTCTGCATTTGATATTTTGTATGCCTTATCAGTACATATAATCTCAGTTTTTAAAAAACTGGTTTAGATATTTCATTTATAGATATACCATAATTTAATTGAACAATTTTTTTATTTTTTTGTTAGAATAATGTTATATAGGCTATTATGTATACTTTCTAGAATTTGTACTTTGCAAAAATTGGGACATTTAACGCTATTGTACATTTTAGAATTTATGGATCCTGTCAAATTGATCTTCAAAAAGGGTACATTAGTTTATATACCCACACATCAGTATTTGGTTTTACAAACTTTAAAAAAATTTTTGTTTCAATTGGCTACTGTATAATTGTATATTTTTTGTTGTTGTTTTTCTTTTTTTTTTTTTGGTTTTTCTCCGGTACTGGGAACTGAACTCACAACCTTACGCTTGCCAGGCAGGCGCTTTGCCCCTGAGCTAAATCGCCAGCCCCTATAATTGTATATGTTGTCCATTGGTCTTTTGCATTTTATATATAAAATTTTTACTGCAAAGAGCTTAAAGATTTTATGTAGTCAGGTTATTGGTCTTTGCTGTTATGACTTTGTAGTCTTTATTTTTTTATTTTTTTATTTTTTGGGTTTTTTTTCCCGGTACCGGGAATCGAACTCACGACGTTGCGCTTGCCAAGCAGGCACTGTGCCACTGAGCTGAATCCCCAGCCCCTACTTTGTAGTCTTAAAACATTCTTAAAAACATCTTCCTTTAAGAGTTTGTGGCCAGCCTGGGCTACATAGTTCAAGGTCAGCCTGAACTACATAGTGAGACCTTTTCTAAAAACAAAACAAAAAGGTCTTCCTTTATTTCACAAGTATAAAAAAGTTTTCCTATCTTACCATTTAATGCAGATCAGCAAACTGTTACTTATGGGCCAAATCTGGCCCTGTTTTTATAAATAAAATTACTGCAGTGCAGCCGTGACCATTTTAAACATTGTGTACAGCTGCTTGCTTTTATAACAGCGGAATCCTACAAAACCTGAGACATTTACTGTCTGATCTTTTCTAGAAAAAGTGTGCTGACCTCTGCTTTGGAACATTTCTAGAAATGTATTTGGCTTTTTCAAAACAAAACAAAAACAAAAACAGTGATTGAGCCAGTGTCTTAACCTCTGAATAATCTGCTGTTCCTTGCTGAAGAAGAGTCTTGCTCTTAACATTAAAGTTATGAAAGTAGTTGTGCCTGTGTCTAAATATCTGTATTTCTTTATTAGAATCAGACTGTTGTAACTATACCTTGTTTTCTTTTACTACAGGATTTCTCTCCCTAAACAAGTATATTTGAAGTTGGAATGTTGTTAAATCATGATAGTAAGACTGGGGTGCAGCTCAGTGATAGAGCATGTGCTTGACCTGTTTAAGTGCCCAGAGGTATTATCAATTGTAAAGTAATAAAGTTGGGCTAGATAGTCACCAAGATTACTTCTAGTCAATAGTTTAAGCTGCTCTTAATTATCTTGTTCTTAGAAGAGGCTTAAAAGGCATCAGATAGACTTCTTAGTGAATAAGGCTATTTTGTTACATTATGTATGCTGTCAAGATGAAATTGGAGGTTTGAAAAGTTAATAGGTGATACTTTTTTCCTCAGAAGGATTTGATTATAATGAAGAAGAACGATATGACTGTAAAGGGAATGAATTGTTTGGAAATCAGCGAAGATTTCCTGGACATCTGTTTTGGGACTTTAAGGTATAGCTAAAAATGAAAAGTCAAGTATTAAATACTTGCAATGCTAAATATTTAAAGGATGGTATGAATTTTTGTTATATCTGATTTTTGTTCCCTACATACATGGATCATCTGCTTTTTTTAATGCTCTGCTATACTATTTGCAAAAATAATTTGAAGTAATTTTCAGGAAAGTAAAATCTAATAACCACTATTTAAAAAGAAAAACGTGTAATCATAGTTCTCAGGGAGGCTGGGGAAAGACAATTACAAGTTTGAACCCACCCTGGGCAACTTCATGACTTAGCAAGACCCTGACTCAGAATTTGGGGGGAGGTGTGGGAGAGGGCTAGGGATGTAGCTCAGTGCAGAAGCCCTGCATTCAGTCGCTAGTTAATAACTCTTCTAAAATTGTAACCATTTTTTAATTATGTGAATTTTAGACATGATTTTTAGAATTGCTTAGGAAATTTTAATTATATCATTTCGACAGATAAACATCTTAGGTGAAAAGGATGATACACCAGTTCATTTCTGTGACAAATGTGGACTGCCTATTAAAATCTACGGGCGAATGGTAAGTATTAATAAATTAAACCCTGTTTTTGTAAATGTAAGCATTTGTGTAAAGGTAAGATTCTGAAATTTAAGTAGAGGTTTATCATTGTTTAATAACCAAGTTTGTAACATGTTCATGGCATAGCTAAGGGAATTCTTAGAATACTCTGAATTTAATGTAATTGTTATTTTACTGCTTTGGAATAGTTTCAAAATAGGATAAGACAGAACGTATTTATAGTGTGTTTCAGGAGCATTTAACATCTAAGAACTGTTTATAGAGTTTATAGGGTTTATAACTCTAGAAAGTATAAGCAGATATATATGTATGTATTTTTATTGGGAAAGGGGCCAGAATTTTCAACACATTCTCAGAAGGCTTTGTGAGTAAAAAAGGTTAACTACTGCTTTTTATATAGTTATTTCTTAATAAATGTTCACTTTAAGGTTTCTCATGTGCTTTCTTTCTATGCATAGGTCATTATGTTTACTGTTTTTTATGGAAATATTTAAAATTTTTCTGATGTGTTAACTATCAATCTGTTAATTGTATTGTCTTTGTTTACAGATTCCATGCAAACATGTTTTTTGCTATGACTGTGCTATTTTACATGAAAAAAAGGGAGATAAGATGTGTCCAGGGTAAGCTAAAGTCACCTTTTTATTTTTAAGTAGTGGAGTTCATAGCAAAATGATTTTTTTTTTTTTTAGTGAAATGATTTATAAACTGGGTTAATGGTCAGGTTGTAATATAAACTAGGCAAGGGATCAAATGTGTAGACATAGATAAGCTTTCTGGGTGAATCCAGAGTTAGCTTTAGCTTTCTTAAAATAGCACCAGGTGGCCACTCCCAGTGAATTCGTACTGGCCAAAATGATGAAATCTACTTGTCATCTTAAATTTGTGCTGGGTGTAGTGGCACATACGTGTAATCCCAGCACTTGGGAGGTTGAGACAGGAGTATTACCATGAGTTTGAGCCCAGCCTGAGCTGCATAGGGAGACCCTGTCTCAAAAATACAAAGAGAAAAAAAGAAGACATAGAGTTGATATTATAAGCCAAAACCGATTATTATTGTAAAATTACTGTTATTTTATTAACTGTGTGACATAGGTTAGGGTTTTTTGTTTTTTTGGTTTTTTGGTTTTTCTCTGGTACCGGGAACCGAACTCACGACCTTGCGCTTGCCAGGCAGGCGCTTTGCTGCTGAGCTAAATCCCCAGCCCCCAGGTTAGGGTTTTTTGTTGTTAATTTTTAATTTATAAAATGGGGCTAATATAATTATACCTCCTTCCCTGGGTTAATGGTAGGAGTAAGTGAAGATAGACGATAGGTAGGTAGGACGATAGGTAGGACCCGATATATAATACGTACTATGTATAGATAAACTTTTATTGCATTCAAATGTTGTTAGTATGTCTTGAGTATGTCTAGGGATATCAGAATGACATAGATTCAAGTTATAAAGAACTAGTCCGTGAAATGGTTTTGAAGTATGTAAACTAGAAATTTTTATATTTATTTAGAACCCCTGATAAGGAATGTGTTGGGAACTTAGAGAAGCTTCCTTGGAACAGCTGTAGGCTTCCTAGATTCCTTATAACCTGTAGTATTGGTTGCTATGAACAGTTGTAAGGTATAAACTGCCCCCCCACACACCTTTTTTTTTAGTACTTAGGATTAAACCCAAAGTCCCATGGATGCTAGGCAAGTGCTCTGTCACTGAGCTAGATCCCCAGCCTGGGTGACTCTTTTATGGTACAGGAAATTGCAACACGGGGAGACAAAGGGATGATTTTTTTTGACAACCCAATAACAACTTATTTTTTTTTAGCATATCTTACCAGCTTTGTTAAGAAACATTATAAAAGCTGGTACTGTGGGTTTAAAGAATATTATGTTGAATTATAATTCAGAAAAGTTAGGAAATTAGAAGTACTTACTCTGTGTTTTGGATGTTTTCTCTAATGCCTAGTTTTCTAATTCAGTGTCCCTTCACTTTAGTAAATTGGGTTGCTTCATTGGCAGGAAGGATTTCATATATGATAAAGTACTTCGTAAGAGACATTAGAAGATTTTGTTTTACATAAGTGTTGTAGTGCTAATATTTAAAAGAAGATTTAGTTTGTAAGATATTGAATCTAACTTTAGCAAGCCGCTCACCTATGTGGTCCTTAGCTGTTTTAGGAGAGAAACCTACCTTGATCAACAAACCCAGATCAGGAAGTAAGGAAATAGCAAGCAGTTATTAGAAATACTGTGTGCTACTGCTGTTAGGCATCATCCAAAAGAAGTGCCTCATATACTGTTATCTTGGAGATGTTTCTCGCTTTATACAGCAAAGTTGAGGCAAACATGAGATGTGTGGCAAATGGCCACTAAAGGGGGGGTACTGTGTCAGCAAGGAGTGCCAGCCTTATAGCAAGGATGAAAAAGTTGGCATAGCTTAAAATCAGTAGTACAAAACCATTTTACTACAGTGTCAAAAGACCTTACATACATACTCAGTAGTAAGAGCTTATATCTATACCTATGTAGTGCTTAACTGGTGATTAAATAGTCACTTTCATTGTTTCATTTAATTTTAAGAATACTCTTGAGTAAGATGAAATAGCTGTAAAAACATGGTGGGTTAGGTAGAGTACACATTTTAACCCCATTTTATAAATGAGGAAACAAACTCAAAGTGGTTAAATAACTTCCAAAATACAGAGCCAATATTACTGGGTCCTGTGTCTTTCGATTTCAGATTCAGTCCTCTTTTCACTGTGTCAGGAAGACTTTTTTTGTTTTTTTTTTGGTTTTTCTTCAGTACCAGCAGTTGAACTCACAGCCTTCTGCTTGCCAGGCAGGCGCTTTGCTGCTGAGCTAAATCCCCAGCCCCATCAGGAAGACTTTAGAGGCAAGAATAGATTAAATATGAATGAAGAGTAGTTTTTTTTTCTCCTCCCCTCCAGTACTGGGAATTGAACTCTTGACCTTGTGCTTGCCAGGCAGGTGCTTATGCCGCTGAGCTAGATCCCCAGTCCCTGAAGAGTAGTTGTTATTTTGACCCTGAATCATTAAGAAAATATTGAGTTAATTTTTTTGTTGTTGTTGTTTTGTTTTGTTTTTCTCCGGTACCGGGAACCGAACTCACGACCTTGCACTTGCCAGGCAGGTGCTTTGCCGCTGAGCTAAATCCCCAGCCCTTGAGTTAAATTTTGATAGGTGAAAAAATGTACCATTTTTTAGTAGTAAATGTGTCTGAAAACTCAGTCTTAAGGGATACTGACTTGAAGTTTTTATGTAAAGAACCTCAGTGATTAGGAAGATCTTCCTCACTGTAGTCCTGGCAGGCAGATGCCTTCCACTTACTATTATTAATTGCTTACTGTTCAGTAACAGTGTGTAAGTTTGAATTCTTTGTTTGTAAGTGACAGATTCTTTGCTTTGTTGTTCCTGGATTTTTTTTTCCTTGCAGATGGATACACAGCACACAGTTGTTGGGAAAATTAGATAAATTCTAGGTATTGGGAAGTATAAAGGTCTCTTAAAACATATTATTTGATAATGCGATTGAGTCCAAGGTTGACAGAAATGCTGATGGTTAGTAGCTAAGACTAGAAAGTAAGCATGAGTACAGGTTCACTTTCACTTAGAGTAACTACCTTTGAATTGTGAACTTTTTGCTGTTACATAAAAATTTAAAGTAGCCATATTTTGAAAATTCAATGCATTTACATTCTGTTTTTAGTAAATCAAATTTTTTCCCTTTCTGATTTAGCTGTAGTGATCCGGTGCAGCGAATCGAACAGTGTACACGAGGTTCTCTCTTCATGTGTAGCATTGTGCAAGGGTGCAAGAGAACGTATTTGTCTCAGAGAGACTTGCAGGCTCATATCAACCATCGCCACATGCGAGCTGGAAAACCCGTTACCCGTGCTTCACTTGAAAATGTTCATCCTCCTATTGCCCCACCACCAGCTGAAATCCCTGAGCGCTTTATAATGCCACCAGACAAGCACCATATGAGCCATATTCCGCCAAAGCAGCACATCATGATGCCACCACCTCCTCTGCAGCATGTGCCACACGAGCACTATAATCAGCCACATGAGGATATTCGTCCTCCTCCAGCCGAATTATCCATGGCTCCACCACCACCTCGTTCAGTCAGTCAGGAAACCTTTCGTATTTCAACAAGAAAACACAGCAATTTAATAACCGTCCCTATTCAGGATGACTCAAATTCAGGTGCTAGAGAACCACCACCTCCTGCCCCAGCACCTGCTCACCACCATCCTGAATATCAGGGTCAACCAGTGGTTTCGCACCCTCATCATATTATGCCTCCACAGCAACATTATGCACCACCCCCACCTCCTCCACCTCCAATAAGCCATCCAATGCCACATCCTCCCCAGGCTGCAGGTACTCCTCATTTGGTATATAGCCAAGCTCCACCTCCACCAATGACCTCTGCTCCACCACCAATAACCCCTCCCCCTGGACATATTATTGCCCAGATGCCACCTTATATGAATCATCCTCCTCCAGGACCTCCCCCACCTCAACATGGTGGTCCACCTGTAACTGCACCCCCTCCTCACCATTATAATCCTAACTCTTTACCCCAGTTTACTGAAGATCAAGGAACTCTCAGCCCTCCATTTACACAACCGGGGGGAATGAGTCCTGGTATATGGCCTGCACCAAGAGGGCCGCCTCCTCCTCCACGAATGCAGGGTCCGCCTTCTCAAACCCCACTTCCTGGACCACATCATCCAGATCAGACAAGATATAGACCTTACTACCAATGATAATAGTGTTCTGAACTGAAGACATGATGAGGAGAAAACTTACTTAGAGTCAGTCTTTTCATTAAGCTTTGACTGTTTTGGGAAGGAAAAGTACCTCTTACCCAGGTGACTATAAAACACATAGGGTCTTTTGTCTCTTAAAATGGTTTCCGATATTGACCTTAGGATTGGTCTCAAGTACTATACTGTAGTGCGGTTAAGTGGATTGGTTGAGCACAGTTCTGTTTTAACAACTTTGTTCCCTTAGTGCGATAAATTGACTCAGAAGTGATCATTTGTAAAAAAATTTGAAAAATTTTCATTGTTCCACTTTCAAAAGTACAGCTTTTGGTAAACCCAATATTCTGTTTTTCTTGTGATACATTTTGTTAACCTGTGTAAAAGGATTAAATTTCAATATGGTTGTAAAAATGCTATTTTTATGTGAACTTAAGTGCAGTCACATACTGTTTTTAAAAATCATATGTTTTACCACTAATTTCCCAAAGTTATAATAAAATCCTAAAAGTAGAATTTGCTGTAAGGCAAACTGTTAAATAATAGAGGTATTTCACATTTTAGGCACTGAAATTTTGAGATTTAGTAAGTATATAATACATTTCACTTGGATGCCTTTGTGTGTGTAGGCAGCCTTAGGAACACCAAAATACATTGGAATCCCAGTACTAAGATGTTGGTGGTATTAGAAGGCATTCTGATTATTTGGGAAGATACAGCCAAAGTAATACTCTACAGTCTCCAAGCCGGGGGGAGGGGTGTGCCGTTACTCGTTGCTTGTTTCGCTGAATGGTTGGAATCACATGATGCACCACAGCTACTAATCTTAAGTAACATTATTTTATAGAACTGTTCAAATGGTGTTATATAGCTGATGTATTTTCTCTTCATTGTCTTAAGCTAAATAGGGCTGATAGGCTTTATATAAATCCTCATTTCATGGTAGTTTAATTCTGTGCTTATGTGGGTTCTTGTTTATTGGGTTTTAAACTGAAATTGAAATGCTTTGGAGGGATTTGAATAATGTACTAATGAATGTTTGCTTGTAATCACAGACTAGCGTTTGCTCAGGTTTCATTGCTTGTGTGATAAGGGTTTTTCCTCTAACTTGAAATTTGAAAACTATTATTTCCTGTTCCTCTTGCTGGTCAGGCGGTCTAAACTTGTGACGTTTTAGCATGGCATCAACAGCGATGACTACCAGATAATTTTGTATTGGAGAAGAGAAAAGTAATGACTAAATTGTGAATTTCAGTGCTTTATAGGTGCCTTTAGAGTCAGCTTTTGCATTATAGGGGCTTGTTACAGTCCAGCTAAGATGACCACTTACGGTTTATACAGATCTCACATGTATAAATCAGCGTTCTTAGGATATGACTATATATCCTTAGAAGAAACCCCTGTGAACTTTTCCTCCCTCCTAAAATGGTGCATAATATAAACATGACTTGTAGTATGCAGATATCATTTATTAGGTAGTTTGTAGTATATAAATTTAGAACATACTTTTTCAACAAAGGATGAACTATTTGCTAATTTACCATTTTATTCTGTCAGGTACAGGCAAAACAAATTTTCATTTTGGATGATCAAATACAAACTTTCTGAACTTAGAATAGTTAAAAATAATATAAATGGCCATTTCACTCTTGACTGGCCAAAGATAATGAATACACTTTTTTCTTAAGTAATTTTTCACACTTAGCAGTTCGAGAGACTAGTTTGTTAATGCACTATTTCTAGGAAGAAATTCTTGTTAGGAGCATGAGAGTGAAATAGTGTGAAGTGTTGGTGGTGAGTGCTTCTATCATATTACTGTAGGTACTTGGACTGGTGCAAACTTGATTCCTATTCGTGCCCCTGTTTAGGAGCTGTTAAAATATTACTGTTAAAATCCAAACCATTCATTGTCATGTAATTAGAAAATAGCTGAATTCACTGTAGAGCTTTTCAGCTGTTTATGAAGAGCTCTTCTGTTTTTATTGAAATTCATTAGCATCAAATGTGAGAAACCACCTGGCCTGTGTTTTTGACAAAAAAAAAAAAAAAAAAATCAATATCATGCTAAAATTCCGTATGTTAAGAGAATTCCTGTAGGCTTTTAAAAATGATTTGTTAGGTATAATAAACATGTTATGCAGGGAGGCAGATCAGATGAATGTCTTGTAGCAGACAAAAATTTTTAAGTGGTGTTAGACTTGAATTTGTCAGTTAATTGAACAAGGGTGGGTGGGTAGAAGGAAAACAAAATTACTGTTTAGTGTTTCTTAAGGAAAAAGATGTGAATCCCAGCCTTATTTCAGGGAAACCTTTGAAGCTATGATGGACATAAGTCTAAATGTATGTATGTTTCATTATATTGCTCTTAAGACTACTGAGGTGGCAGTTTCATTCTTAAAAACAATAAAATGGAAGCATAAATACTATTTTGCCTAGATGTATTTTTACCTAATGATTATACATTTGGGATAATGCAAGATTTTTCATTTTTATGGTAAAGCTTTCTATAGTAAAGTTAGATTCACTTTTTAAAAAATTAAAGCCAGCAAGTTGAAAATTGTGTTTCTTGGATGGCATTTTTGTGCAGAGTATAGTGCAATATTTGGGGAAAGAGCTATTGCAAAGACTAGAACCAGCTATTCATTTTTCTCTGTAAAAACCACTTGCTGAAAATTATGTAGACACTGATCAGATATAACGTAAGTAAAAATATATTGATCATTTAAAAAACCCTACAAAAAAGTGACCATTTACTACATGAAGTGTATGGAACTACTTGAAAGTTTTATTTAGACTCATTGAAGAATGTTTCTTCTTTTTTGAAACATTCTGTAGTCCTGTCTTTAAATTTTTTTAAAACTTACAAGTATGTCAGTGTAGGTATTTGAAGCAAAAACATTTCTCAGATTATCTGTGAAATTATTGTAGATTGATGTTAAGTGTACGCTGAAGTGATATAATCATATTCATACTTTATCTTGGTTAATTTATTTTTGTTTACTGATTTGTAACCAGTTAAAATATGGCCAGAAACAAAGCAGAGTTATTACAATAATTGTACAATCTAATGAAGCAGTATTGGTCAATCTAAAAGAGGAGTTGAAGGTAAGTCAGAGGGTTTGAGACCGTTTCATTGTATAGTTCAGACTGACCTTTAATTTGAAGTGATCCTCCTGCTTCAGCCTCCTGAGTGCTAGGATTAGAGGCGTGTGCTGCCATACCTGGCTTCTTACTTGGCCATTTAAACACCTTGTTTTGATTCATGGCCCTTCAGTTTTTCATCATGAGAAAAAAAATGCTTTAGAGCAAAATGCCTAACATTTTGGTGCTAAATTTTTCCCATCTACCTTTAAAAATTGAGGATTTTTGGACATTACAGAAGCATGAGATTGAAGTGAACACTAAGCCATGGGTTCATTTCTCATACAGAACCATCTTTTTTTTTACAAAATCATTCATACTACAAAGTTATTCTGTGACAGAATATCCTATTTCTCTTTTATGTACTGTTGTGAATACCAACCTTCATATTGCATTAAACCCATTTTCTATTACTCTGTCTTTAAAAGTCTTTGTCTTCTGATAGAAAAATGTTGCTCCCTTTCATTTTTGGGACCTCTTTTTCCTTTCTTTTTAAATTTGTACTCATTTCCAATTACCCAAGTATTAAATCTTGTGGGGAAAAAATGTAATACAAAGAAAAGTTATCATCCCCTCAGCCACTATCCCAATGGGCTTCCTCACAACTTTGATCTGTGTGTATTTGTTTTAGTTGTTAAATCTGACAATAATAATCATGCCATAATAATCTTCCTAATCCATATTAAATGTATTTCATGACCTACATTTATTAGTTACATTCTGAGCTATCATCTAGAATATAAAGGCTCATTCATTCAAATATTTTATGTTCTTCAAATATTTATGTTCTGGACATAGTGCTAAGCACTTCGGATGCATAAACTAGAGACAGTCCATAAATAATGACATGCCATGTTTAGACGTGCAATAAAATACTATGGTAACGAGATAACATGGGTAGTAGTAGTTGGTGATTTTATCTTATATTTTTTTTGTTTTCTTCCAGTACCAGGGATTGAATGCAGGACCTTGCGCTTGCCAGGCAGGCGCTGTGCTGCTGAGTTAAATCCCCAGCTCGTTGGTTTGTGATTTTAAATAGCGGAGGGGAAAACATCTGAGTAAGGAAATCAGATAGATAAAAACTACACACATGGAGCAGAGCTTTCCAGACTTTCTAACATGGTCTGTAAAGGTCTTAGATGGGACTGTGTATTTGAGGACTAGCCTATGAGTGGAATGAGGTGAGTGGTAGGAGCTGGAGGCTTACTTAGCTCAGTAGTAGAGCCCTTGACCAGCATGCGTGGAGCCCTAGGTTTGATCACCAGCACCACCACCGTCAGACACACCACACACAAAATAAAAAGTAGTGGAACAGAGAAGTCATAGATTTAAGCATTATAAGGTCTTTGACCTTACTCTCAGACATGGGAAGCCATTTGTGACATCTTGAACAAAGGATTGGAATAATCTGCCTCTTTACAAAAGGATTTATTCTGGCTTTGTGTTAGACGCAAAGATGGACATCGAGACCAATCAGAAGGTGTTTTAATTCTGTGAGATCATAGTGGTAGCATTGAGGTACTATGAATTAGGTGACCTATGGAGGGATAGACCTGTATACTTAGAAAATTATGTGCTAGATATGGGAAGATAATGAAAAAAAATATGATCCTTGCCTTTTAAGAGCTTTTTTTTTTTAAATGGGAGGAAAAATAATTTTTTTTTTAAATGGGAGGAAGATTATTTTTGGCGGGGTACCAGGAATCCGACTCAGGACCTCAGGCTTGCCAGGCAGGCAGTGTACCACTGAGCTAAACCCCGACCTCTCCCCATTTTTAAAAATTACAGTTATTAAATCGTATTCCATTCTACAGATTTAATGGGTTTGCTGTGACTTTTCCATACATACATTGTGCTTTGATCATCTCTACCCTCCCTAATACCGTCTCAACCTACCCTCTCTTTTCCCTCCCCTGCTGTCCTTCCCTAATGGTCGCTCTACTTTCAGCTCATTTCATTTAAGCTTCCACTTATGATAGAAAACATGCCATGCTTGTCTTTCAGTGTTTGGCTTATGTTTGCTTACCATAATGCCCTCCAGTTCTGTCCATTTTCCTGCAAATCACATGATTCGTTGTGGTTGAATAATCTGTTGTATATCCCATATTTTCTTTACCCATTTGTCTGTTTACAAATACCTAGGCTGATTCCATAACTTGGTTCTTGTGAATAATGCCGCAATAAATACGGTATTCAGGTATCTCTTTTGTATGCTGACTTCATTTCCTTTGGGTATATATGCAGGAGTGGAATAGCTGGATCTGAGTAGATCTAGTTTTAGTTTTTTGAGAAACTGCTGTACTGTTTTTCATGGCGGTTACACTAATGTAAATAGGGTTACATTCCCATCATTGGTGTAGAGAGTTCTTCACCCCCACTCTCACTAGCATTTAGTTTTCTGTTGATAACCAATAGACATTCTGATTCAGGTGAGGTGGAATTTCAGTGAAGCTCTGATTTGCATTTCCCTGATGGCTAAAGAGTTTTTCATGTGTTTACTGGCTGCTTGTACTTTTGAGAAGGGTCTGTTCAGAACATTTGCCCATTTATTGATCGGTCTACTTATTCTTTTAGTGAATTTTTCTTTTTTCTTCTTAGTTCTTTATATACTCTGGATATTAGTCCTCTGTCAGAAGAATAGCTGGCAAAACTTTTCTCCCATATTTTAACTTGTGCCTTTGTTGTTTGTTTCCTTTGTGAAATCTCATTTGTCAGTTGTTGCTTTTATTTCCTGAGCTGTTTTCCTATTCAGCAATATGTTGCCTTTAGATGTTTTTCTCTAGTAGTTTCAGTTTGAGCTCTTATATAATATTAAGATCTTTTTATCTGTTTTGAGTTGATTTTTGGGAAGAGTGAGAAATAAGGGTCGTTTCAATCTTCTAAATGTAAATATTCCATTTTCCCAGCACACTTTGGTGTATGTTCTGGGCTGCTTGGTCTAAAATCAGATGGCAGTAGGTGTGTGGGTCCATTTCTGACGAGATCGGGAGCATTCAGGGTCGTATGGCCATAGATGTGGGTCTATTTCTGCATCCTCTATTCTATTCCATTGGCCTGTGTATGTCTGTGTTGGTACCAGTGCTAAGCTACTCTTGTTGCTCTGGCTGTGTGGTGTATTTTGAAATTAGGTATTGTGATACCCCCAGTATGTTGTTCTTTTTGCTTGAGATCACTTTGACAATTTGGGTTTGTTTATTTGTGTGTGTGCATCCATATGAATTTTAAGATTTCTTTTTTCTAGTTCTTCAAGGAAGTTGTTGGTATTTTGATGGGTTGCATCAAATCTGCAGATTGCCAGTTGGCAATGGTGGCATGTGCCTGTAATCCCAGCATTTTGGAGGCTGAGACATGAGGATTGCCGTAAGTTTGACTCCAGCCTGTGGTACATAGTGAGTTCAAGGGCAGCCTAAATTACAGAGTGAGACCCTCTCAGAAAAACCAACCAACCAACCAAAAATAATCTATAGAATGCTTTCAGTAATACAGCCATTTTAACAATATTAATGATTCCATTCTATGAACATGAAAGGTCTTTCTATTTTCTAGTGTCTTCTTCAATTTTTCTTCAGTGTAATATAGTTTTCGTTGTAGCTTTCACGTCTTGGTTAGGTTTATTCTTAATTTTTAAAAAAGCTATTGTGAATGGAATTTTTTCCTGATTTCTTTCTCAGCTGATTTATTTTTGGTATATAGAAAAACTATTGATTTTTGTATGTTGATTTTCTGTCTTGCCACTTTGCTAAATTTATGAGTTCTAAGAGTCTTTTTTGGTTGAATCTTTAGGGTTTCTAAGTATAGAGTCATATTTTGCAAAAAGGGATAATTTGATTTCCTTTTTCCCTGTTTGTATTTATTTATTACTCTTGCCTCATTGCTCTGGCTAAAATTTCAAGTACTCCATTGAGTAAGAGTGGTATGAGTGGACTCCCTTGTCTCATTCCTGATTTTAGAAGAAATCTTTTCAGTTTCCCCCATTCAGTATGATTCTATGGATTTGTTATATATTGTCTTTGTTATATTGAGGTATTATTCTTTACTCTTCAGGGCTTTTATCAAGAAAGGATGTTGAATTTTATCATAGTTTTTTTCTGCATCTGTTGGGATGATCATGTGATTTAAAAAGAATCCTTGATTCTATTTATGTGCTGTATTATGTGTATTCATTTGTGAGTGTTGAATCATCCTTGTACCCCCAGAATGAAATACACTTGATACTAGTGTATTATCTTTTTAATGTGTTGTTGAATTCAGTTTGTTCGTATTTTGTTGAAGGTTTTAAAATCTA